ACCCACACATCATGCACTGCCACATAAATCACTCACAGCTATCCACATGATACATGGGCTGCCACATATATAATGCATACAGTCACTTCATGCACAGTCAAATCATATACATCACACAGAGCTACCACATTACAGTCACCACACTCATACACAATACACAGTCATTCCCCACACACAGAGTCTTTGCATGCATACACCTCACTCTTTTGGTTTGTTAGCAAAAAAAAAAGAAAAAAAAAGAAATGCAATGGCACCCTTCCAGTGTAACTTTAAGAATAATTTGACAATTTAAGCTAAATCACAGCCTGCAAGGAGAAGCTGGGAGCAGAGTTTGCAGGTGCAGGCCCCAGTGGGACCCAGTTAAGTTGGTAAACTGTTCTAAAACAATATGGCAAATTACAATGGGAGGACACCAGGGCATTCCTGGCACCATAACCACTTAATTAAAGGGGTTGAACAAAAATATAGTATGAAACGTTTAGGAATTATAACAATTTCCATACACAGTCCACTTATTTCCGGGATTCAAATGTAGTTGCACAAATTAACACAAACATAAATAAAATCTTAATTATTTATATTTTTTCGAGAATCCTTTGCATGCATGGAAATCACCAAATGTTGAGTTTCCTCCTTTTGTATGCTTTTTACTGCAGCTGTCTTCATTTGTTGTTTGTTCATGTGTCTTTCTGCATATGGTTTGTCTTCAGCAACTAAAATGCATGCTCAATTGGTTTGGGACCAGATGATTGACTAGGCCAGGGGTAGGCTACGGGACATCACAATCCTATATCGGCACAGTGCTGCTAAAAGGTTGCCTACCCCTGGACTAGGCCATTGTGGAATTTTCCACTTCTTTGCCTTAAAACACTCTGTTGCTTTTGCAGCATGTTTTGGGTCATTGCTCATCTGTAAAGTGAAGCACCGTGCAATTAACTTAGTTGAATTTGGCTGATCTGAGCAGACAACATATCCATATAAAATTCATCCTGCTGGTTCTGTCACATCATTAAAGAGAACTGGTGACCCAGTGTCACTGGAAGTCATTCATGCCTATGACAGCACACTGTCTTCACCTTTTTTTTAAATATAGTATGCTTTGGATCATGAGCCATTCCTAGCCTTCTCCATACTTCAACCTCCCCCCCCATCATTCTGGTACAGGTTGATCTTAGTTTCATCTGTCCAAACACCTGTTCCAGAACTGGGTTGACTTTTTTAGATGTTTATGGAAAAGTCTGATCTGGCATTTCTATTCTCGCAGCTTATGAGTGGTTTGTACCTTTTGGTGAACCCTCTGTATTTGCTCATCTGATGTCTTCTTTTTGATAATGATTTGCCTACCTCTGTTTAGGATAAAAGGGAGATATATGAATTTCCTCCACATAGATAATGATCTTGGTAATTTAGTTGGAAAATCATTTAATTGGTTGATAGCAATTAATGATGGCAGGCACAATATAAATGTATAACTAAGTAAAATGTCACTTTAAAGTTTATATATTCACATTTATGTCACAAATTAAACACCATCTAAAATATGGAAAGGATTACACATATTAAATCATTAATGTTGCAATGGATAATAGTTTGTGATGTATATTATGTTGATTTATGATTTTACTGAATGTAAACTTGGATAGGAAGTTGTTACACTCAGTTTTAATATTTAATACTTTGTTGATTTGTAATTTGGTTAGATATAGAGGATACATTATTATCATTATTATTGTTTTGCTTTGTATGTAATTTCTAATAGCCCTCTCGTTTAGATTCCCGGGTATCACTATTGTATGCAATGACAGTGGATTTCAGGTTGTATCCTCTATGATTATGATGTGGAACGCACGGCCATGTTGGATTTTCGAGTGTGGAACGCACGCCGGTCACATGACAAGAAGGTAACGCGTGACGTCCGCGAAAATGGCCAAAATTAATGCGGAAGAAAATGTAAATCCCTGGCGAAGTAGTTACACCTGGAGGAAGATACCGGGCGGTGAATAAAAGTTCAGAAGAGGGAAGACACCCACTATTCCACCAATGACTTGAAGGGATTAGCCCTATATAAGACTTTCAGTTTGGTAGCGTTTTTAGGATGCTTTGCTAGTTATTGTACATTTAATTGTTGTTTTTATTGAAAGAGGTCCCTGAGGAAGTCCTTTTGTATAAGGACGAAACGCGTAGGACCGGTGGCCTTTTTACATTTGTTTTTATTGTTCTATTTGTACACCTCCTGATTTTATGAGTGAATAAATTGCCTTTTAAGTATTCATCTGGTTGGAGTCTTTTGGACCATCTTGCTGACCCTGATACCCCATCGGTTATCACTCGAGGAGGGACATTTAAAAAAACCCCATCTACATCGTGGGGAGGCACCCATAAAACGCTTTACCAATTTGGAATTTGTGAGTGCATAAATATCATTATATTATTTTATAGTATAAAACAGTATTTGCATGTTTTATCCTCTATTGCAGGTACATTAGCAGAATCCCTAAATTTCCTATCATCTATACAGTCTTGTTATGTGGTTATTAGCTGGGAAATAACCTTGGGAAGCTATGTACCTATAAGTTAAGTTTTTTTTATACGTTGTTTACACAGATCACTTTGTTCACCTGTGGATGTGTGTATCTACACTTTTTTGAACCATCTTATCCATCTCAGATTTTTGTAATAGGAAGTTATTGTTGTGTTTTACTTTAGTTTTGCTTTTCTTATTCCTTAAGATATGCAATGTATACCCTACAGCGCTGAAAAGGTGTGTCGGGTATCACTGGAACACCCAATAGTGATCACTTAACATGTCTCAACATGTCTAATAATGCACGTTTGTTTTTCGCATGTCTTGGTAGTCTAACCTGTTATTGCTTGTTTTATAATATACCCTCTGTATAGGCACATTAAGTGTCAGTAAACCACACTATCTTCCCTATTAAGGGTTAATAAATATATAATGGTGTATATAAAAAAATACCACTCTCTGTCTCATTAGAATATCTTTGCCAGAAGCTCAAGGAATCAAGGTGAAGGGTCAGTGTAGGACCCACTTAGGGGGGTCTGCCTTGACGTTGGCAGGAGGGCATTCCCTCCAGTGGCCGTTGGAGTAACTAAATGACCTCCATTTGTTTAAATATACATAGGGATTAAGGAGAGAGAGCGCAGGTAACTTGTTTTTCTTTGGTTTACACTATTTAGCTACTCCATGCCTATTCTCGACTATCTGACACCACGTCTTGTACTTGATAATGTATTGTTATCAAGTAATTTACTGTAAACAGACATCTGTGTGTTCATTTATTATGTTAAACTTGATGTGCTTTATTTCTCTGGACTTGTAAGAACAATCTAGGTCTTCAGTGTCTGCAATTTAATATATATGGACCTATGTATCGATGTGCCCTGATCTACCATGCGTTTACCTGGTTGATTACTTCCTTATAACATTTGTGTTATTTTTGCATTTAAAAACAAAAGTTAGATGCAAAATTTGGCTTAGCAAATTTGATAAGAATATTAAAAATAATTTTTAGATATCACAGCTTCATTAGAAGTAATAGTGTTAGAAACTAATATGGTTACTGGGAAATGTAATTAATTTTTTTTTTTAACCTACTTAATAGTGATTTATTTTTGAGTGCATAGATATACACAGAGACTTGCTCAGCCACAATAGCCTTTGTAAGCACAGAGTGTCACATATGGAACATTTACATGGCTTTGATAAAGTTGCACATTTTTGAATAGTTAGATTAATACAGGATATATATGTTTGTCCTGGTAGTTAAACTGCTCTTGGATTGCTAACTTAGATAGATAAACTGGACATGAGGAATATGTTAAGTAAAAGAGTAAAAATGAGTAATGGAACATGAGTAGTACAACTGGGTGAGGAATTGCTTAAAGGGACACTATAGCCACCAGAACAACTACAGCTTATTGAATTTGTTCTGGTGAATAGAATCATTCCCTTCAGGCTTTTTGGTGTAAACACTGTCTTTTCAGAGAAAATGCAGTGTTTACATTGCAGCCTAGTGATAACTTCACTGGCCACTCCTCAGATGGCTGTTAGAGATCCTTCCTGGTTCATTGCTGCCTAAAATGCATCCAAACATCCAGTGTCTCCTCCCTCTGCATGCAGATAATTCATCTCTATGATTCAATTCATCTCTATGAGGAGATGCTGATTGGCCAGGGCTGTGTTTGAATCATGCTGGCTCTGCCCCTGATCTGCCTCTATGTCAGTCTCAGCCATCCTATGGGGAAGCACTGTGATTGGATCGGGCCACCACTTCTGATGATGTCAGCAGACTGCTTTTTTCTTTTTCTTTTTTTGAGGCAAACAGCATGCAGATCTACAGCTTCTGGCTTGAATACAATAAGATTTTTACTATATTATGGAGGCATGAGGGGCCCAGGGGGGCTAGATGGTGATTGTAACACTATAAGGTCAGGAATACATGTTTATGTTCCTGACCCTATAGTGATAGAAACATAGAAAGATAGAATATGATGGCAGATAAGAACCATTCGGCCCATCTAGTCTGCCCAATTTTCTAAATACTTTCATTAGTCCCTAGCCTTATCTTATATTTAGGATAGCCTTATGCCTATCCCACGCATGCTTAAACTCCTTTATTGAGGTTAACACAGTAAAGCAGTTTAAGCACGCGTGGAATAGGCATAAGGCTATCCTTACAGCCTTTAAGGATGTGGGTTGCAAAATTAAACATAAGGAGCAAAAGAAACCTAAACAAGACGACATGATGTCTATAAGAGCTCATACAGCTATGGTAGTTGAACACGCAGGAGAGTCCCATTTGATGAACTGTGTGAGTGTCTTGGGTCATAACTGACTGTCAACCTACACCCAAGGTAGGGAAGCATGAGTGCTTGGCATGAAGGGTTAGAACGATAGCAGCCCTAGAGTTGCACCACATGGCCATTTTCCTGCAACCTCAAGCCACAGACGTGCGACCTTTCCTGGGCCAAGCACTTACCCGCAAGGGTTAGATGGAAGGTCCGGGTGGCTTGTTGCTGCCATATGTCTTCTGTCCATGTGGCCAGTGTTGTGGAGCTGTGCCCCATTTGGACTTCGGTCCAGGGGAGCCAGTAGCTGGTGCCATCCGTGCTTTTTGGAAGTGAGTGCCCAGTAGATCCTCCTCCTGCTTTTGGTGCGGCATAGCCTGTTGCCATGCTTCTAGTGAAAACCTCATCCAACCATTGCATAAAACGGATATTGGGGTCGGGATAGTTCAATCCGGTTTGCTGTGTTGCGGGCAGCTGCACCATCTTGCGTGGCCACACTGCAGGCAGGTGCTGTATCCACTACTCACGGTGGTGCTTCATGCGAGCCAGTGGGTTCTGGGATAAACCCACCGGACCAAAGTGTGTGTGTGTGGGGGGGAAACAGGACCACAAATTGAACTGCTTGGGCACTGGTTCAAGCGGAATGGGTGATCGGACGTCTTACCCATCTGTCTAGATAGCTAGGCCCCGCTGGAACCTACTTCAGAATTGCGGGATGTTAATGCTCCGAGGTAACCCAACCGTCTCCGTGATCAGGCAAGTCGCTGACAGGGGCTGTTAGATCACCTGTGTGCCGGGTACACGGTGTTCTAGCTAGTTTAGGCTCGGAGCTCATGTGAGTCTCTTCCACCCGCCATGATGCTTAGGCCCCGGCCCCTGGGAAATATAATTTATATTTTAAAGGTGAATGAATACATATATTGCTAATAACTAGTATTATAATTTAAAGGTGAACTGTCACATCTACTTTTTTTTAGTATTATGTTTAGTTATACCTATATTTAACAAGTATGTATTTGTGAGGCATGGGAAAAAAGATTATATGTGTAAATACACATCTCTTTATCCCATGACTGGGAGCCTCTACCTTAGCTCCCTGCCTATTAGAAGCTCTGACCATTTCACCTGCCAGTCAGCCTAGATAAAACATACAGAGATGAGAAGCAATTTGTCTTCATTATATGCAATGTTTGCCCTGACTTTGCTTTGTCTGAGCTGAATTATGATGTGATCACCAACTAAATTTTTACCATACATCTTAAAGAAATCAAAGCATCTAATGGGAAAAGTTTGACAGAATATCTAGGTGATTTTCAATGTTTTATTTAATTGTTTAAATTCCAGAAAAGTGTTAGTTCCTTTAGTTACGGGACACTGCCACAGTAAGTATGAATATATATGAGCAGGAGTAAATTGCAATTCATTTAACTATCTAACCCATTTACGTCTGTTGGCAGGTACATTCGGTCAGCAGGTGAGCCAGTGCGACACTTGCCCTGAAATTTGCTTAAGCAATTGCCAGTGGCCGTCCAAGCCGCTTGCTTGTTTAATGAGATTAGTCTTTGCTAAACCTTTGTAGATCCATTCCTGCACGGGGCATGCATTCGTCCGAGTAAACCCTCTTTCAGAGTGCCAAAAGCCCTGAAAGCTGGCTGTAGATATTACTCAACACAATAAGTTGCTTACAATTTGCTTATTAATCAGCTTCTTTAAATAAATACATTAATGCTTTGAATGGAAGCTTTTTAAAACAGGGATTATTTTGTCACAACGTACAGAGAGTTGTCTGCAATACTTCTGTAATATGTAATTTGACTTTGAATATCATTTTACTTTTGGCAGTAAATTCATTTCTACACATTTGCATTTTTTTCTTCCAGTAAAATATCTACAGATTTTTGCAGAACTTTTTTTTTTTTTTTTTATCTATAAAATTATATACAAGGGCCATGTATAACTATTATAGCCAAAGCAACATTCTTACGGTAAAGCAATCACCATGGAAAATAAAACAATATTATTGCTGATTGTAGCTGATTTAAATTATTTGCCCCAAGCGTCTCTTTTTAAATAGCCCAAGTTGTATCAGGCAATGCAATGCCCTTTTTTTATGGGGACCTAATATTTGATTAACTTTTAATTAACTGTGCTCTTTTTCACAGATATGTATCAATTCAGATACAATTACAATTATCTTAGAAAGGCTTGTTGGTGCAGAAGCCAGGAATGGAAATCAGAAAGCAAACGTGTTCCAAAACGTGTGTCCAAATGAAAGATATTGGTAAGTCTAAACTAGAAAGTCATTCATGAAATATTATTTATACGGTTTGTATAGATTAAAAAACAATTAATAAGAGCAATACATTAGTTCACCTTTTCATAGAAGTGGAAGAATGGCAGTAGACCATAATTTCTGTAAACTAAAAAAATGGCAAACCATTCACTATAAAATTTTCAGATATGCTCTTTCTATTCTGAAGGCAATTGGACAAATTAGGTCCACTTGATGACCCAGAGGAAAACTCTTATTATGCTATCAGTCCTAGGGTTGCACAGAATTATGGGAATTGCAGTCCTGCAACATATGGCATGCCAGACCAAGACTGAAAGGGACCCTCTTACCTCCGAAATAAAGATTATATTAATCGAAATAAAGTCATTTTGGGGTCTAAAGAGCCATCTTGCATTAAGGTAATTAATTGCATTAAGGTAATTAACTGTTTTGGAATAGTTTAATATAACTTGTTCCCTGGATGTCCTTTAAAACTTGGCATACTTGCAAGGTAAGACACCCTTCTTTGCTTGGCATACTGGAAAGGTACGATGGTGTTTATGGACTCCAGCCCTCAAACCAGTTTCATTGAGATTAAGTTGTTTTGATGGCAGAAGGTCTCTTTAACCCTAGTAAAAAACAAATTGCTATGGTTAAGGAACTTCCTGCAAGTGAGCAAAGATATATTTTTAAGAACTATTTAAGCTGATTTCTAATATATTTTACTTTTTTATGCTGTTCTCTTTTGCTCTTTGTTTTTAGATCTCATCCACTTTTAGGGCCGTGATGGAATTCAACCCAAGGTAAAAATGCCTTCAAACCTTCCAAATCATGGGGGAAATTTATCAAAGTGTTTGAAAAAGTGTATTTTATTTTTTATCTGATCTGTATCTAATCTGTTCTTATTTATTAGGATTGCACTAACAAAATTTCTAGTGGAAAACTGACAAAAATTATAAGTCTTTTACAACGCTGTAAAAATGGTATATATTCCAAAATGATAATTATGCTGCAACTGACAAATAGAGAAAAATAAATATAAAACAGATTTTTATAAATTGTGCCAAATAAGGCTGTGGTACTTTAATAAATCATTTTCACTCTGTCTATTCATTAATTTGTGTGGTCCACTACAGTGACATATCATTCATGGAGAGGTCACTATTTGCTCTCTCCAGGCTGCCAGCATGAAGTTCCAGGCTTCATCTTCAATAAAACAGAAACAATATGTAACATCACTGATGAAATAATGTCTTCTTATGGATAATCAAATACATTTGTGTCTATCTGCTTTACATCGTATAACCATGTTTTGTCTGCAAACAGGCAAGGGTAAAGTTATAAAAGATGTCTCTGATATTTCCTCCCATTTATTCAGACTCTCCAAGTCCACAGTGCAGAAATGTCATCCTAGTTTTGCATTTGAGAAGCCAACAGATGTTCCGCTCCTTGGAAAATTCTTCATCTTATTGATTTAAGTAAAAGTCATATCTTTGCAGTAATTAGGAGATTATAGATCAATTCTTTAATTGATAATTAATGTTAGTGATGCCCCCAAGCCAGGATGCCAGAAACTGATCATGGAGAGAGGAAGGAGAGTTTATGTTCTCCCCCTTCCCCCACCCCAATGCGAACATACAAGCGGCCATATAACTTTGGGGAGTCCTATGTTAAGCAATGCAAAGTATCCATATGTGACAGTGGCCCTTTAAAATATGAGACCCAACAAAATAAATATTTGGCAATAAACTGAAAGAATGTATTATGAAGGATAAAAATAATAATAATTGAATAATCACCTTTGGAGTAGTATAAAATGGAGCCTCGTTAATATATAAGTAAAGTATCAGATGGAACGAATACATACAAATATAAATAATACAACATAGTACAGATCAGATATAGGGTATATATGGAAATAGGATTCATAAAAACTCACAAACATAGAGTTAAAAATCTAGCTCTGGAGTGGATAGGGTCCGGGTCCGTACAGGCGACCCACCCGTACAGGGAATGTATATTCTGTCGTGGAGAAAATATATACAAAGCAAACATAGAGTTAAAGAAAAATATATATCAAATCAGGCTGCCAAGTGGGTACTTACATACATAGAGTCTCTATGGCTCAATAGTAGCTTGTTGTGCAGTTAGGGACTGCACTCCCTAGATTGTAGTAAGTAATGGTGGAAAACTGGAAACCAGGATAAAAGTAAAGAATTTCTTTAACAATTATAAAAACAATAAAGGAACAATGTCCATATAGAATACCGGAACGCATTTCACTACTTCTTGTAGCTTCCTTAGATGGGTATATAGTTCAATGATCTCTGGTTCCACATTGTTTGCTTATACACCCCCTAAATGGGGTGATCAGTTACTGGTGATCTTTCACCGCCACGTAATTACCACTTACAGGTAAAACGTATGCGGTCCAAGCCTCCCTATGGTACCTTATATTTATGACTGACGGACACTCTCACCTGGAGCTCCATCTCCTTCTTAGCCTGGATATGTTGTTGTGATTCCATGCCTCTTTCTCATATGGTGCCAAGCCTCTTCTTGAGATGATAATGATCTCAAATCAATCCGTCTGGTCTCACTCGCTTGGTGGAAATTAATAACTGTATCTTTACCTTGAGTTCATGTGCACATATCATGCTTATATATCGTTCTTATGTGTGCTCATAGAGAGCTGGTGCATGTTCACAAGTTGTCAGAGAATTTAAAACAAACAAAAAAAGGAGATCGAAAAATCAAAAGAAAGTTCGCTATCTCTTTCAAACATACATGTGTAAAATGTTATTATACATATATTATACATATAGTCGTAGAAAATATAAATAACAGTGAATGCTTCAGAAATAGCCATAGATGCTTAGATAAAAAAGCTTCCCACATTTAGATTTTCGAGGTCGAAACCATTTTAAAAACTTATGTGTAACAATTTAACATAATTGCATGAATGTTGCAATCCATATGATAAATATTTCACCTAGTGCTAATAAGATGTATACAATGATACGGTCAATATTCGGGATCATTACCATAAACTAGTTAATGAACTAACCTAAAATGATACAAAGATGCATATAGACACGTAGAATAGGCACCGAAGGGACAATATGTCCTCCTGTTGTCTTTCATGTTAAAGCTTCTTCTAATCACCTTCAGAGACATTTCTGATGATGTTCTGGTCACAATGACATCCAAC